CACACACACATACATACACACACACACACATGTACACACACACACTACACACACATACACACAGACACACACAAACACACACACACACTACACGTACACTACACATGTACACACATATACACACACACTACACACACACACATATTTTTACTTATTTTCTGTTTAATTTCTAATGTTTAGATGAATTAGAACTATCTTGTTTATTTTTAGAATGTTAGAAATATTATCATCGATGAATTAGAAATATGTTAATGTTTAGTTCAACTAGTTAAATTAATATAATAACTAGTTTATTTTTAGTAAATATAATGCTTAGTTGAACTAGTTTATTTTTAGTAAATGTTTAGTTGAACTAGTTGAATTAATATATAGAACTAGTTTATTTTTAGTAAATGCTTAGTTGAACTTGTTGAATTAATATATAGAACTAGTTTATTTTTAGTAAGTAAATGCTTAGTTCAACTAGTTGAATTAATATATAGAACTACTTTATTTTAGTATATGCTTAGTTTGAACTAGTTGAATTAATATAACTAGTTTATTTTTAGTAAATGTTTAGTTGAACTAGTTGAATTAATATATAGAACTACTTTATTTTAGTATATGCTTAGTTTGAACTAGTTGAATTAATATAATTAATTTATTTTTAGTAAATGTTTAGTTGAACTAGTTGAATTAATATATATAGAGAACTAGTTTATTTTTAGTAAATGTTTAGTTGAACTAGTTGAATTAATATATAGAACTACTTTATTTTAGTATATGTTTAGTTTGAATTAATATAACTAGTTTATTTTAATAAATGCTTAGTTGAATTACTAGAAGTAGTTGAATTAATTGAATTAGTAAGTGATTAATGTTTCGCCTAATATGAACACAGGAAATGTCGTCCGACGACAGAAAAAATTTCATTATGTGCGATTACTGTGAAGACCAACGCGGCCAGTGCGATAGAAATTTCCTTGTTGATGGTAGACGATTCAACATCAAGCTGGATGAGACTTTCGAATTCGATACAGTAAGTCACAACGACAAAGTCTGTTTTCGTAATTAAGCATGACTTATATATCCTTCATTTGCCTGACTTATAATTTTTAATTTTCACTATTCTACTAGCGCATTCCGTGCCATGCAAGAATTTTTGTCTTGGATAAGATAGGTTTCAAAGATATGGAAACTATGGAGGTAAAGAGAGCTTACCTGAAAACTGAGCATGATGGTTATACTTTCAACGTCAAAGTATACAATACACACACGTACACATATTTTGAATGCAAAACTTGGCAAGCACTATGCAAGGCTTATGCATTTGAGCCTGGTATGGTTATCACCTTTGATATTCGTCCGGAAGATGATATTGAAGGTAATAGAGACATATGGGTCGATGTGCAGACGCCTCCAGTTCTACCGTTATGTGAGTTCTTCTCATCTATATTTTTGTCTTTGATATTGCTTATTCAAAAATAACTAACAACTAATTTCTATTGACAGTTTATCTCCATTCAACCAAACATGTCCGGCGCTTGGTAGACAGGACCTACTACTATCCCGGAGCTGAACTAAACTGCGAGGAAATAAGTCATTATGTTTCATGGCTTGAGAATCTTCATACTGTCAAGACAAATTCTCTTCCTGCACTTAAAAATGTTAGTACTCAAAACGTGCGACCAATAGTGATGGTATTGAACTACGGTCACATCTATTTACGAATGATGGTAAGATATTTACTATTTGTCCTCAGTGCATATTTTGCATACATATTTTTTTGCTAAACTTTCATTGCTAAGTATATTAATTAAGTACTATACGATGTTCTTCAACAGGGACTCCCGATGACAGTTGTGCCTCAGGGGATCGAGACTAAAGGTCAGATGTCAATTGTTAGCTTACGACCAAGAGATCCTGCATTGCACATGAATGCATTCAAGATTTCTAGAAGCGATGAATGCTTAATAGTGAAAGATTGGAGGAAAATTGTTAATGATCGCAGAGAAGTACTAGGGGGCAGCAATGAGAAGCGCAGCCCACGTTTAGGAGACAGGTTCATCGGCATGCTCCAATATGATCAATCAGGAGAGGTATACATGTTCTATGCTATTTTACCAGAGAGAGAGTAGCTAGCAGGAGTGATTTAGCTAGTTCTTCATGCTGCTCTTAATTAGTACTTGTCCTTTCATGTCCGTGTTCTTCGTTCTGAACTTAAGTGATTTGCTTTTGTGGTGTTATATATGAACGCTTATATCATG